TGGTGCTGATGATCGACGAAAATTATCCACCAGCACAATGGCCAATCGGACGAGTCATTGCGACACGCCCAGGAGCAGATGGGCTAACGAGAGTCGCAACTATAAGAATCGCAAAAGCAGAAGTACCAAGGCAGGCAGATGGATCACCAATCATAGAAAACATCAAAACAATAAACACAGAGCTTGACAGACCAATCACCAAGCTTTGCCTACTGCCATCAGATCCACCACCTCCAGAGCAACCTCCAGACGATGATGCAAAAGAAGCTCAACAGGACTAGAATCACCATTAGTTTATCATCCCTGATGATGAATTGTCCCCGGGCTGTTCGAAATACAGCCTAAATCTCCATATTAGTCACGGTCGACTAACTCGGCCATCTCCGAAAATCTCCGTGAACTTTCGGGTCAACGGACACAGGTCAGTGCGGCACCCGGAAGAGTCAGTCAGTAGTGTTATAGTATTGCTAGGATAATGAGCTGGCGTATTCAGTCAATCAGTATTCTAAATTTAATATCTTTGTTCAGTACATCAACTTGTTGATTAAGTTCAGTATAATTTCAGTGACTCAACGAGATAAAGGTGAAAAGATAATTATCAGTAAAAATTAGACATTCAACAGTAAATATACCAAAGAGTGTAAAATTAAGTGACAAGTGGTTCGATCCCACGGAAATATATTGAGATTTTTTATAAACTGCCTAACATAATTTTCCCAACATCTGCCTCCACATTTTCATCCCACATCCACCCTAACCCTAGACATTCACCAAACAAGGTCTTNTAAATATACCAAAGAGTGTAAAATTAAGTGACAAGTGGTTCGATCCCACGGAAATATATTGAGATTTTTTATAAACTGCCTAACATAATTTTCCCAACATCTGCCTCCACATTTTCATCCCACATCCACCCTAACCCTAGACATTCACCAAACAAGGTCTTTACAAAAATTTCGCAATCTCATCCAGATTCCAAGATATTCGTCAAACAAAATCATTCATCATAAAAGATATTTTCATTACAATATTCAAATATTAAAATTCAGTAACGACGTCATGAACGAGCATAAGTTTAATTCCAGACTGTGTTTTTGATGGATATCTCCAAATCTAATGAAGATTATTCATTAAAAACTCAGCCTGGGGTTGAACTTACGCTCATTAATCACTTCTCTACTGAATTTCAATATCTAAATGGTGTAATGAAAATATCTTTAATGATTTTATTAGCAGAAGTCTTGGAAGCTTGGAGGTTATGTTTACTATCTAGGTGGAAAAACAGGATGAGTTGATGGTCATTAGAGATCAGTTTTTGGAGAATATCTCAGAATATGGACCAGATGGCGTAATTTTTGATATGGCATTTTTTGTAGAATGAAATGAGATCTACAAAAAATATCTGTTCGAAATACAGCCTAAATCTCCATATTGGTCACGGTCGACTAACTCGGCCATCTCCGAAAATCTCCGTGAACTTTCGGGTCAACGGACACAGGTCAGCGCGGCACCCGGAAGAGTCAGTAGTCAGTAGTGTTAACGTATCGTTCCGATAATGAGCTAGTGTATTCAGTCAATCAGTATTCTAAAGTTAATATTTTTGTTCAGTACATCAACTTGTTGATTAAGTTCAGTATAATTTCAGTGACGCAACGAGATAAAGTGAAAAGACAATTATCAGTGAAAATTAGACATTCAACATTAATTATACCAAAGAGTGTAAGGCAATAGTGACAAGTGGTTCCATCCCACGAAAATATATTGAAATTTTTATTAAACGCCTACCATAATTTTCCCAACATCTCCCTCCACATTTTCATCCCACATCCACCCTAACTCCAGTTCCTCACCAAACAATATCTTAACAAAAATTTCATTATCTCGTGTCGATTCAGAGATTATTCATCAAAAACTAATTTCCAATCGAATCAACTCATCCTGATACACGATTTCACACTGAACTTCACTCTTAAATTATTAATCCCCACAGTTATTTATTTCATTTTATCAATTTAAGACCGATATTTTATTTTTTTACGATTTTTCGGAAATAATTCACGCAATTTTCCCTTTCACATTCTAACAAACAAACCTCAAAAATCATGGTCGAATACAAAGTGAATTCCCCCCCTAAAAACATGTCCAATAAACGAAGCAGATGACCGAATCTACTCCCAATATTAACGCGGATAATTTAATACATTACTTAATATATAGAAACTTACCAGATTGTCGTCATCCTGGGCAAATGCCGGAGCTGGGTTGTTGGCGTCGTTGTCGGCCATGTTGATGGGTTGAAACCACTGAACTATAGGTATACTGAATATAGGTGGTGCTGAACAAGGATAGGTTGGGACCGGTTTTGTTTCTCTCTCTGGCTAAAAGTATACAGCTTGCCTCTCACATGCGCAGTCTAGGTACTATACTATGTCTATGCCAACACTTCACTGCAGGAGATTAATGTATAGTCTTGCGTAGGGTCGCTAGATCACCGTCATATTAACTAGCCAATGGCCAATCACGATATCGCATGATCGAGATATAGTATAATTCAACGACGATTGCACCCGTGTATTACACTACACTGTTGGCAATCACTGAACGCGAAAAATGAGAATTCGAGTCGCGCTGCTAACTCAGTGGCTCAAGTGTAACCCGTTAGTTATTGGAGATAATCGAAACGCGAGAAATGTGCATGATAGCTCGTTGCTATGTGCATATCTTCGTTAATATTCAACTAATTAAACCGATAATTGCATCAGTGGAAAGCTGATATGCGATTTATATGATGTAACTAAGACCAGTTTTTGTCTAAATGATGGCGTAAATTTATTCATAAAAAAAATGGATTGGAGGTAGTGGAAGGGGAAGTTGTGTGGTGTATATACTTGGTAGCTCTCGGTTGGAGTTGTATAAAACGTGTACTTTTCCGATACGCTACCGCGTATCTCGATAGCGGGAGTCCCTCAGGGTTCTGTACTTGAGCCAATATTATTTTTAATATATATCAATAAAATTGTGAAAGGGAACAGGAGTAACTATAAAATTCGTCTATTTGCTGATGATATGTAGTTATATGTATGGGGTGAAAGCTCGGACTATGTGGAGAAGAAATTGAATGAGCAACTTCATGTACTTGAAGATTATTTTGGAAGTAACAAATTGAAAATAAATGCGCCCAAAAACTAAATTTATGATCATAAAACATAAGAGACAAAATCTTGGAAGGAAAGTGAGCGTCAAGTGTAAAGACGGATTGGAATTAGAAAGAGTAGATGAAATGAAATATCTAGGGATTATAATAGACATAAATCTGACGTTCAAAGCATGTCAGGAGTACTTACTGAAGGGAATAGGCAAAAAAATAGGAGTATTGAGCAGAATTGGAAATTTTTTAAGTCTGATGGCCAGAAATGTAATATACAAGAGCATAATAGCTCCACACTTCGAATATTGTATTACAATAATATATTCAATGAATGAAACGAGCATGAAGTCATTGCAGAAATTACAGAATAGAGCAATGCGTAGCATTTTACACCGCAACCGTAGAACCACAGTCACTGACATGCTTGACGCCCTGGGTTTCTTGTGTTATATCCAATATTTTATTTCAGTACATTCTAAATTATTCACTCCGAACACCGAGTGAATGCCTCGTCAGCACACAGTGCTGCACCACACACATTCCGACACGATCAATGACCGATTGCGCGACTACTCTCCAAAAAAAAATTGGATTTAAAACAAAATTTCACAACTCCCTCGACGTGGCCACGGGGCGAAATTGCCACGAAGACCTCGCCAGTCGTTAGCTAAAATTCGGAGATATCGGACCCAGCGGAAGTAGTTTACGGAATCGTTCGGGCAGTATCCAACTCCGGTAGTAATTCGAATAGAAATTTCAGGACTACATAACCGGTGACCTCCCCTTTTGAAATTTGGTCGGGATAAGTGATCGTTGGTGCTGTTCAGAGGACTGACCACCCTAAAATCGAGAGTAGTAACTTTTCACACGCATAAAGGGACAATTAAAATTAATAATAGTGCTAACGTGCTCAGACTCAAAACTTGTCAAAATTTTCACTGAAATAGCGAGGAGAAGTTTATCTCAGTGCATAAGTATTCACTATAGACCGTGACGAAAGTGTGAGAAAAGAACGGAAACTCACAAATAAACATTTTTAGACTTAAAACTAGACTAAGTGCGTGGGATAAGACAAAGTGAAAATTCGGATTAACCATTGTATCGAGTGCGTACCTTTGTCTACAAACCTATTTTAAATAAGAGATTTTCTAGGGGAGATTTTCAAAATTGATAGAAAGATAATCGAGTCTCATGTAAATTAGGAATACGATTTTATTGGGAATTATATTTGGAAATTAATAGAAACAAATCGGGTCTTCTGGTCATTTCGAGATCCCTCCCTCCCTTCCTATTTATCCTATTTCTGAATGAAAGTAGAGATTACTAGTTAAAATTGAAGGCCAAAGGTAAGAGTACCAGATATTACGAGCGTCGTCCATCCAATAAAAACTAAGACAAAATAAGTATAAAAAGAAAAGCAAATCTTGGATAATTTTCGCAATCATCTGGAATCTAAAAAAAAAATTAATAAAAATTTTAACCGTTGTTTATGAAAATAAAATAAATTCACACCAAAATTGTTCAGCTCATAAAGCTTCAATATATTCATTACTTCTCAAAAACATAAATTACATAAAATGGCAAACCACATTGACATTTCCTTTTTGGGCGAGACCACTGCAAACACTCCATGTAAAAGCCTCGAGGACTACACCAGATCCCGTGATATGGGATTTCATCTCCCAATATTCACAGGGGGCCCAGATGGCGTGTCTCTCGAAAAGTTCGAATACGCAGGACGGTCTCAGATGCCCACTATTCCACCAGATAACGAAAGAAAGAAAATATTCCTCTATGAAATCCTCTCCCATTTGGAACCTCCTGCCTCCCTGACGGTCGCGGACAGGCCAATTAATACCCCTGACGAAATACTCGAAATTCTCGCCAAAAGATTTGGACCCTCAAATAACCTAGATCATTATCTCTCGAAAGCTCGTACCGCGCTAAAATCCTCATTAGAACCCCTAGAAGGTTTCTTAGAAAGATTGGCAGTACTGGTACATCACGGGTCCAAGGCAGTAGACCGAGAAGCCAAGGATGAGCATAAGCCAGCTTTCAAGGAGTTCTTGAACCAACAAGCCCTCACTAGGTTCAAAGAGTACTGCCCACCTCACGTTAACGAGGTTCTCAATAACAAGGGAACTAAGACCATTATAAGGACGCCCTTACCCTTTTTCGAGAAGGGAAATATCGACAGGCGGATAAGAGACCAACACCAGAGTTCTCCGGAATGGTCAAATACATCAGCCAGTATCCCACGCTGGATACTTTCCCCACAGGAGCGACGCACTATGGACCTCCCCTCAGTAATCCAACCTCAACTTATCAAGGTGCATACGACCCCAGAGGATCGACAGATGCACTCCCACCATAGATACCCAAACGGACATCTACAGGGACCACCGAATGCCTATCGTCGAAACCACCTTCAGACTCACGGGAAACCTCATGAGTATCACAACTCGCACCAGTCTCTTCTAGAGGCTTCAGCACGGGAATTTTCTTCACCACCACCGCTTCCTACATCGCCACCTGCCTTCACTTCAAGAACACCGCAATATGTTTTCCCAGAAACCAGCAACGTTGTGGCAATGGGCGGAGCTTATTCCCCCCAGTTCGAGTACCCCTGGGAAGGAGTCAACCAGCCTGATATGAGCCTGCACCCTACAGGGTCTTCCATAGCAGTACCATCCACACTTGATCCACAGTTACCAATAATGGTTGCTAATGCGCCCACCACAGTGACTCCCACATCATCCACATCCTCTCAAGATCTTATAAATGAGATGAGAAAACTCTTCAAGGACCTCACCATAGAAATCAAGAAAACCGCTCGCGGTTCCCCATCCAGTCGACCCCAATCGAGGGACAACTCTAGGGAGAGAGGGAACCACAACCAGGGAAAAGGACTTCTCCTACACAACAACAACGGAATGCCCACCGTACCTGCTATCAACTCCAATGTAAGCGTGACCGCCAAGGATTTAAACGAGTTTCTGGCCCGCCGAGCGAGTGCATCGACGGCCAACCAGAACCGACACTCACACCACTCCTTGAACAGCGGCCACCTGAGACAATAAGGACGGTGTTCTGCACAATTGGCGGGGGCCCCCGAGTCATCTTCAAGGGACCTTTCCTCAACACCATCAGGGTTAACGCCTTATTGGACACTAGAGCCTCAGTGAATCTGATCTCACTGAGTTGTCTCCACGACGATGGGCATGTGAATCACACTCAGCGATCAAGATTGTGGGATTATCTTACCATACCTCAGACTCCCTGGGAACAGTAAACCGGCCCTTCGCTGACAACATTCATGTTACCTTCCATGTCATTCCGCACCAAGTTGGATCTTACTCAGTTCTCATTGGAGATGATTTCCTGGACAGAACGAATGCTTTTATATTCTTCGATGATCACACAGTCACCCTGAGTACGTCGCCTCTCGCAACCATCCATTTCTACATGGCACCTTGCCTGGAGAGGTTAATAAAAAGACGGGTAGCCCTTAGCGGGGGCGGACCAAGGGTGAACCTCAAAGTAAAACAGTTAACGAAGGGTAAACATAAATTCCTCATTGATACCGGATCTGACATCAACCTGATAGAATCAAAATATATTCCGAAAGATACCAAACTACTCCCTCACACCGTTCCTGAATAGATTGGTATCAATGACAAAGGACTCCCCACGGTGGGAGTCATTCCGTTGAAGATCTTGCGAGTCAGAGTACCTTTTCACGTTATAGACCAGCCGTTACCTGTACCAGCAGCAGGAATTCTTTGGTTAGAATTTCTTGTGACAGCAAAAGCAAATATCAGATATCTCCAGCGCAACATCAGCACCTCGGCTAGGCCCCATCTGCCAGTGAATTGGTACGAAGAACCCATGGACAACAAACCACTCACTGTCCCATCTAGGACAAGGATGGTCGTCAGCATACCCATCAAGGAAACTGATTTGAAATAGGGTTATTTGCCACAGATACCCACAGAAGAGGGAGTTTACCTAGGAGAGAGTTTAGTTCGCGTCGAAAATGGACGGGCAACTGTAATGGTCATCAACACCCAAGATCTACCAGTGAAGCTCCAGGTATCCCCACAAGAAATAGAGCCTTTCGATAATGCACCTGAACTGAAGAGCAACGTCGAATAT